TTTTATAATAAAATCTTTTTTAAGGTTTTTTGTGCGTAAAAGAGAACAATCAGTTAAGGTACAATGTTTTGCTGGCATTTTAGGTAAATAAGCTCAAGCAGATAGTGAAAATTGGGGAATGATGAGCAAAAAGAAAGGTTTTAGACATTTAAACAAACATAATATTTTTCCAAAGTTTTTGGTTTTAATCGGGTTGGAAGTTAAGTGTTCAACCAATCTTTTGGTTAAACCAACCAATCTTGATTTGGCAGAGTTTTTACCCAATCTATATTTGTACCAGAGCAAACCACTGCAAATTAGTTAAATAATCCAAAATACTTGTTGTGTTTTATTGCAACTCTCAAAAGCCTTGGGTGGGTCTTGAACCAACAACCTCAAGAATTGAAATGCATTTCTTACAGCTGATGCCACAAGCACATTCCTAGAACACAAACATAATTAAAAATTATGCCACTGGTTACTTCTGTAACCAGTGGCTTTCTCAGTTTTTGATCATTACATTGTTTAACCAAACTAGTTTTAAACAACTAGATTGGTTGGAAAAACAATCATTCTATTCATGGAATCCAAACTCTATCCAACTCTCCTACAAACTCCCACATCTTGACTGAGGCTGTTTAAATGCCGAATTTCCAGGCGAGCTGAACCACTTCCGGAAGCGGTAACATGGTATGGCAGGGTAGCGAGGCTTCAGACATCATCTATTTTGGCTCCTCCCACAAACGAAGCGAGCCTCGATACGCGCCTTGTGGAAACGCTCCCTCCAGTACTCGACACGTGCCTCAAAGCCTCAGCTCATCTCATGACATCACTGCCTTCCGGTCTCTGCATTTGGGTCCTCAACCAACCTCCATACAAATTTTGACAATAACCTCCTTATAATTCATTTTAATAAATGAATAACTAATGGTAACAAGGGTCGAATTTTACTTTAAAATGTCAAAATATTTATTTTGATTTGTGGTGAACAAGTTGGTGCAGCACCGAGTCCAACCACAAAGAAACTAATTGTCTGGATGAAACAAATATTTTTTATGTTTTTTTTTTATTTAAATACCAACAGGCCATAATGAAAATGAACTAAATGAAACAAAACTAACCAAAACTACTGAAATTTTTTGCTCAAGTGAGGTAACTAAGTATGTGTACAAAAAGCCTCAACATGCAGATGTAGCCATGTCATCTAAAGTGAAGCTCAGTCTGACATTTACTTTGACAAAATGCCAGAATCTTTCGCAAATTTGAAATCTACTAAACCCTCGTTAACCTACAAATCTCCTTCAACAAGACTCCTGTATGCTTTGAGGATTATGGTTTCTATGGTAACGGGCAACACTGTTTGATTAAACCCGACGGAAGAAGTTAGCATTATGCTAATTTAGGCCGTACAGTTCACTCAAAGGTATAGAGGGAGATTTTTTGTTTTTGGGTGGATCATCAAAATAAGTGGTCCTCCTAATTGTCAATCATTCTGGTGATATGTTTACGTAAGGCAGTCCTTCGTGCTTGCCCCGTTAGCTATCTTTGTCTGTGCATGCGCACTTTCAGGCGTATATCTGTGTTGAGCTATGGTTTCAGACAGTCATTGAAGCTCACCTTTCTCACTGCGGTTCTTTGAAAATGGACGAGGGTCGTAAGAGAAAAGTGAATGAGATGAAAAGAAAGGCCTCAAAAGAGGCATATATATCCCAGAATGCTTTGCGGGAGAGCTCTCCTCACAGGCTTGACTCAAAGGCAATCCCTCACACTAAGCATAATTCAAGTGACTCTAAGCATGCAGCTTGTGAAGAAATCTGCTTTTACACCCATATAATATTTTACATCCATAACCAAATATTAATAGTCTTTTTAGAACAGTACTGTATTTGATTTGATTAGTTTTTTTTAAAGTTAATTATTTGGATAAAGTGGCTGCAATGTGAAAAGCTTTGGTTCAGTTTCAGACATTAGCAGCAGTGGTTTTGTTTTAAAACGTGTGCCACTCATCCCCGCCTGCTAGCTTCTCTTAGCAAATCCTGCTGAAGTCTGCACACAATCAGCGGAAATTGAAACACTGCTGCTCATTTTTCTGCTTTCATGGGGAGATATTTGATGTCACTCATGTTTGTAATATATGCCGAACATCTTCCAACAATGCGCTAAATAGACATCCCTTTGTCTGATTGTGTTAGAGCTGCTTTCTTTCCTATCTAAGGAGTTATGATACACCATTTTCTTAAATTAAGCCGACATCAGGGATAGGCCTAGTGTTGTTGTGATACTTTGGTGTTTGGCTCATGGTTTTTTTCATGATTTGATTAATAAATCATTGATATGAGGACAATGTTGCCATATTTGATCATGTTCTGTTCTCTGTATGTTCTAGTTTATTTTCTTACATCAGTGTTTATCTTTCTCCTCAATGAGTTTTGTTCCTTTTGTGTCTGAATGAAGCCCCTTTAACACTTGACGTTTAAGACCAGCGTATGCCTGATGTACGAAAAATCTGGCAAAAACGCTGACATATGTTGGCTAAGTTATGGGTACGTTTTGTATAAGTAATAAGCACGCTGAAACACGCTGAAACATGTTAAAACACGCTGGCACTGTCAGGAATCCAGTTTGTGTGGTCTGTTGTTTTGTGTCTGTCTCTCCCTCCACCACCAGGTGGCGCCCTGTCCTTGTTGGTCCTCCCTACACACCGGCGGCTCTTTGGATCGTGATCTGGAGGAGTACTTAAGCAGTGGACTGTCACTACCTCGATGCCAGAGTGTTTGCCAGTTTTGGGTACTCTAGCCAAGCTGAGTTTTGCTAAGTCTAACTGAGTCTTTGTTTTCATTGAGCCTAACCTTGTTTTTGTCTTTGCCTTTTCGGCAGGAAGCCTCTGCAAGCTGGATGTTTGGCCTTCTTCCCCTGGAAGGATTGTTTGAATCTCACACTGAGCAGGGGATAAACCTCCACAAGTTCAGTTCAAGTCTTCCTGGTTTTCCGAGTGACAGTCCGCTCAAAAGCTCCTCCGGGTCCAACAAATGTCTACCTGTCCACCTCTGGATCAACCCACACTGACTGGATTCAAAGTAAGAGAGGAACCCCCCCCCCCCCCCTAACGTGAGTCCCTTACCAGCGTTATCCTTACGGCATCCAAATTTCCCACGGTACCTGAACTCACCTCTGTGCACTTCCCTCCTCCCTTCCAGTTCCGGTTCACCAGCCCTCTGAGTACCAGATCCAACCCCTCAATCCTTACCTCAATGAACCTGTTAAACCTTTCCCTTGCTCTCTGAGTGGTTCTCTGCATTTTGGGTCAGATCCTTAAATAAATCATGACAGACACACGTTGGCATACGGCCAGTACATATGCTAGCGTATGCCATTGGTGGGCCGTAAGTTATATGATCGTTGACATACGTTAAGTGTTAGTAACTTATAAGTTGTGGCGTCTAGCTTATCCAAAACCTATGAGTAACTTTTGCTTAATTTATGTGTAACTTATCAAGAACTTACCTCCAACGCATTTCAACATATTTGAGGTGTTCCAGATGACCGCTGAACATTTTTCTGACTTACAGCTACTGTTTAATGTTGTATTGGCAGCGTTTTGGTATAAAAGGTGGTTTACGGGAGGAACTTCCTCCCCATCATAGGGTGAGAGAGAATGTGAGTTTGATGGATCCTCCCTGAGTTCAAGCCCATGACCAACAAACTTCCAAGCAGACATGATGCTGAATCTGCTGAGACTGCAAACCTTTTTTCTTTCTTTAATTTTTTCTTTTTCTTTTTTCTATTTTTTTTTTTTTGGCGGCTGGTAAACAGCAGCTGGGTTAATACCGCGATCAAAGACACCTTTTTATTTCATAATTTTGTATCTGTAAGGTACTCTGAGATTGACACAGTTCGTAGACTTTTATTTAATAAAACTCTTCTTGTATCTTTTTCAAGAAACTCTTTGTCCTCCATGTAAATTAAAACTGTCCTTATAAAAACAAACAAATCATCAGTAATTTAAAATTGTCAATTAAATGTGGAATAAACATGCAGAGGAAGCTGGAAGAGGAAAAACTAGTTTCCTTGACAACAGCAAAGCCTTTGCTTCTATTACTACCATGATATTAGAAGCATATTGAACTGCATCAAGTCAAGTATGTATTGTAGCAGTGCTATGGGGTGGGGGGTTGAAATGGAGACTGGGAACAAGTTTTTTTGTATTTTAAGAAAGCTTTTCTCTTAAATTAGAAATTTCTTAACAAATTATTTTCATAATTTAATTTTTAATAATTTACATCTTCCAATATTTTACCTCTGATTAGTGTTTTAGTGGAATTTCTGTTGGCACGTGGGGAAAAACCAAAACCGTACAGGAAAAAAAACAAAATAATATGGCATGTCTTCCCAATAAGTCTCTCTGCGTTCACACTAACAGTTCCCATTCCCCATTGAAACACAGAGGTGGCAGCATCATGCTGTGACAGGGAAGCAGGTCAGAGATGATTTCTAAATTAGAAAGCAAAGAAAAAAAGCTTGGAGCCCTGTGTACTGAAAAGCATGTGCTTATTTCTGGAAAACTTTGTCAAATCAAGTGTTTATAAGATGTTGCGTTCTCATTTCGTCCAAAAATGCACTGCAAAAACGATCTAGAAATAAGTAAAAAATTCTAAAATTAAGTGTATTTATCCTTATTTTAAGTAGGTAAATGAGATAGTTTGCCAATGGAATGAGTATTAGAGAATATGTACTTGAAATAAGACAATGCAATTTTGCTTTTCTTATATTAAATGTAAATTGTCTTGTTCCATTGGCAAAATGTCTGTTTTACCTCCTCAATTCAAGAACAAATGTACTTATTTTAAAAATTACTTATCTAGATTTAATTTTTTCCAGTGTAGGTTGTAATTTTAGCTCTGCCAGCCCTACTGATCACATCTACTTATGTTTCCCAGTTTGCCCTTTAATTGTAAATGAAGCTAATTTTCCAGCTGAAGCTAGTAGCGCTCGCATCCAGATGCACATTCGGAACAAGTTACCTTGGAGGCCCGGGAACAGGTGTCCCCCTGCCACGGGCGGCTGACTTGCCCCTGACCGATGGCACCTTGGCATCCTCTGAGCCGCCGTTCAGGTATGTGAGCTCCTGCAACTGGGCCTGTCGGATCTCATCATTGTAGTCCTGCACACACAGAGAGGCACACGTAAACACACGCACACACAATGCCGGCAACAGATACGCCTTCAATTACACTGTATCACATTATATCCTTTATCTCCAGGGCTGCAGCTCTGGGAATATCCAATTAATGTACTTTGCCGTGCTGCCGTGACTGCTGTTCCTAAAGCAGCGAAACATTCAGATCTCCTGCTGATAAAACCTTAGGACCCCTTTTAGCTTCATCTTTTCACACTGTTGTTTTCCCCCCCTAAATTAGAGCACATTAATTAATATAAAACAGGTCTTTAATCACATAGTAACTGATACACTTGTCATCTTTCATCTCTTCTAGTGAGTCGGATCTTTTTGGGACGGCGAGAGGCAGCAATGGAGGATGGGAAAGTGATGAGATGTAAATCATTGCAGCTGTGAGCAGTAGAGACGTGAACCATGACAGCTAGAGGTAAACAAGTTCAACTCTGAGGTGACTCCCAAAGAGAGGTGGTTCCTTCATTCTTTATGTTCCTGCTGAACTTTCTATGCCCTCATGGGGAATCTAAAGTGGAAGAACGTCATCTCTCACCCGCTATGCTAACTTTATCTTTGCATTGGAATGCCAACAGATCATTAAGCAATCAGCAGATTATAGAACTAGGAAATTAGGGATGAGGAAATGCTCTTAACTTATTTGAAAACATTAAAAAGATGGGATTTAAGCTCTTTTTGCAGAAATGTTTAAACTTTCTTTAACAGAATTTGCTCCCCCCACATACATGCATCTGCAAATGTCCCTGGGTATGCAGTGAATTTAGACTTAGACAGATTTTATTTTGTCATTTTGTACACAAAAATAAATAAAGTTAAGAACAGCTCTCTAGACAATTTCATTTTTTTAAATTGCAGCCTTGAAAACAGTAAAAAAAAGTACATAAAAACAGTAATATAAACATATGACTTTATATCTACAGTGCTAACATTTCAGGTTTTTTTATGATGATGGTTTAAAAATCGATGAATCGGACAAAAAATATTTTTTATATTAACCTCTTTATTCCAAAATAAACATTTTAGACAGAACAAACAAGCACACAAGTACAGGTTGCTCATTAACTGTACTGGTGCAATATGAAAAATAAATGTTTGCGTTAAAACTACGCAAACTTACATGAGAAATGTAGCTGTACATCCACAAAATATAGGGTACTTTGTTTCATAAAGCGCAAAAAAAGACATTTTTGTTTTTAAAAGCCCCTAAGGGGTTCAAACAATAGGTCCCCTCATTTCAACAAATGAGTTTTTTTTAGACTAGAAGAGTTCTGCCTTTTAAGACAGGAAAGTATAGCAGTTAAAGTTGCTATTTGAGAAAATACTGAACCATAGAGATAAAAATAGCCCTGTGATTCAAATTATAAATTGTATTTGGAATAAAAATGAGAGAACTAGGGGTGCTAAAAAACACATCCTCCAAAGACAGATATTTACATGGGAATGTGGCATATAATTAATTGACATATTACTGATCTTGCTGGATTTTATTCTGCTTTACTTCCATAAATTGCAGGATCTTCTTTACTTTATCTTTGCCAGAAGATTTAAACTTTAAAAGCCTTGCCCTCATAATTTGCAAGTTAACTTATTTATAAAGAAAATATAAACGCTGCTTAAGCTAATTCAAATGAAATTAAAAGTAAAATAAGTAGCCAACCTTATCACTGTCTGTAACCTACTAACACGGTAAGGAAAGCATCAGATGAGCTACCTGAGAAACTAACGTTACGTTTCCCACTTTAAAACCAAACAAACACGGTGGTTCCGTGCCATGTTAATTTGTTTTGACAAAAGTTGCATGTTACGACTTTTTTCACTTTACAAAGCGCAGGCTATTTTAATTATTGTGATCAATTAATTAATTAATGTGATCAACGCGCGCTTCATTTGCAGTCTGGACGCTGAGGATAAACATCCTCTGACAGCAGCGCTGAGAGGGACTCCTGCGAGAGAACGGGGTTGGGGTGGGGGAGGCGCCCCAGGGCAGAGTAGGAACGATACATGCTTTCACGTAAGAGTCTCCAAAAGCCGCCAGTGACACCGTAAAAAGTCGCCAGATTTGTCGCTAGTCGCTTTTTTGAAAAATAGTCGCTGGAGGGGTCTGAAAAGTCGCGGAGTTGGCACCACTGCACCTGCGGCGCTGACTCGCTCTGCCGTATTTTTTTTCTTCCCCCGTTTCAGTCAAGTGGATGTGATGACGGCGGCGGCGGATGACGCATTAATTGCGCGACACAACTAATCGATGATGAAATTCGTTGCCAACGTTTTTAAAAATCGATTTTTATCGATTTGTTGTTGCAGCTCTAGTGATGATGATGATGATTTTGATTCCTTTACGAGCAGAGAACACATTTTGCAAATAAAAATTTGAAAAAAAAAATTGAAAACATTTTGAAGTACCCGTTTGCTTTTTAGTCAAAAAAGTTTTTTAGAGTAACATTGCTTTAGTTTTTTTTTTTTCACTTTTTTATATTTCAGGTGTTCAGATTATCATTTTTTTCCTATTTTAGTTTTTCAGATTTATTTAAATTGACTAACTATGGAAAATCTACTTGAAAATAAGAATAAGAAAATAAAAAAACAAGATCTAAGAAAACAGCAAAGCAGCTCTGAAAACCTTTTTTGTGATTAAAACTTAAATTTTTTTTATTTTCCTATGCTTTTTTTATTCAGGAAAAAATGAGAAAATATAATGTGAAACAAAATTGGAAAAAAAATATATTTTAACCTGAATCTCAGAAAAGAGCAAAATTATTCTGAAAAACGTTTTTTGTAGGAAGTTTTTATTTCCTTTTTTTAAATATTTTTATTTACAAACGTTGGAACAATAGTGGAACAAATTGCGCCCCATGTGCATGAAGTCCATGTTTGCAGGTGCGCTAAATTTCCTCGCTGTGATTTATTACGCTTCTCAGTCAAAAAAATTATTTTTAACAGAAATAAAATCTTACAGATTTTATATGTACACATATTTTTTTTTTCAAATTGAGATTTGCAGATTGCATCCTTTTTAAACACCATTTCACAGGAAATGATGTGTCACTGAGCTGACAGGAACCTTCTTAAACTTCAGATGATTATATGTGGTAAAACTTCTTTAATGAAGCATAGATACCAGATTAAAAATATCCAACAATTCTTAAAATGTGTCTGATATTACCTTTTATTTTTTGAGGACATCCTCTTTTAGAGACTGGTAAGCTTTATGAGGGAAAAAGTCTTGTTCTAATCTATGGAAAAACCACATTTTTAGGCTTGCGGTTTGTTGCTATCAGATAAGTTTAGGTTAAGGTCAGTGAAGACGGTGTGTGTGTACCTTGCTCTATCGCTGACAGGTTTGCTCCACCTTAAGGGAAGGAAATAAATCATCTCCTTGTTGCACAATTAACTTATCTGAATTAAGGCCAGTTCAAGCAGCAACTAGGACGAGCCGTGACAGTTACAAAGAAACAAAGATGACAAAAGATGGAGAAAAGCAAAGAGCAGAAACAACGAGGAAACTCAACACAGGGAATGTCATTAATGGTTAAACATATCAATAAAACAAAATATGATTAAATGTGCTCCTGCAGAACAACTTTGTACATTTAGCAGCTAGCAGAGCATTTTCAGACGCTCCAGGTCAGGTTGCTCTTTTATCAGTTTATATGTGGATCTGTTTAACATTTCCATTTCATCTCTTTCTACTTCCATGTCAAACCGTTTAGTATTCTTTGATAAATTGTTCTACTAGGTAAAGAAAATTCCTGAATTATGGATTGACCTGATCATGAGGATATCACTCAGCTGAATGCATTTCGTCCTTTGGATGAATTTGGCCCTGATTCCTTTTATGGGCCGGTTGACCTGATGACCAAGAACCAAACCAAAATAACTCCTCAGCTCAGGAGGAGTTTATCACAGTCATGAAGAAATATCTCCTTCAAAAGAATGTGAGCACATAATACAAAAAAACAAACAAAACAAAAACTATTTATTGTCCCACCAGCAGGTAAAATAAACTACAGCCTGTGAAGAAAGAGTTCTGCCAAAATGCACATTGGTATTATTTATTTAAAACCAGGCTATTTGGAACCAGGCTCCCAGAGTAGCACAACCATGAGACAATTCTGTTTATCTATGATTGCAGATTATCTCCTACTCAACTTTCTGTTTCTGTGGCTCATGTCAGCTTGTGTCACTTTCAACTGTCTGTGATTGGCTGCTTTTCAGGAAATATTGATACAGTAGTTTTATTTCCTAGTTGCAGCTAGGAGCATTAGCAAGATTTTCTTAAAAATTTGAGAAAAAACGATTTAATTAAGTAATCATTAAAAAACTTAGTTAACACAGGAATGTCTTCTAACATCATTTTTGGACTTACCGTATTTTCACGACCATAAGGCGCACCGTACTAAAAGGCGCACTCTCAGTTATGTGTGCCAGCTGTATTTAACACACACATAAGGCGCACCGGACTATAGGGCGCGTTTTTTATATACAGGTACATGTCCTCTACTACCTTTATATACCTCTAATGCGTATTTAAAAATACAGCGGGGGCAAAACTGAGTATGACTGTGCTTTATTCATGTATTTATTACAAAGTATTAATCAAACCTGGGAGCTGGCCATGAGACAGACACATCGCAGATGACAGCGCTGTGGTCACTCCTAAATTAAAGCTACAGTGTGTAATTTTCAGCGACATCTAGCGGTCAGACTGCAGACTGCAGCAACATGAACGTCTCCCCCCCACCGCTTCTCCCCCCCAACAGTACGGCGAGCGTTACGGGACAAAATGTCTTCCACAACGTCCGCATCACCTACCTTCTCAAGTGATGAGGTTTGTTTACATAGATAATTTTACAGATAGTATTTCATTAGTCTGTGTAGGGTATAGATTTCATGTAGACTTAAGATAATAAATATACCCGTTATTTTTTCTACGTCGTTGTGACGTTTTGGTGAGCTGCTTTGCATGGTGATATAAACAGACGAAGTAATTGTAGTCATTAGTTTAACAGCGAGATTGTGTTCGCTGGAAGAATATATATTCCCCGTTTACAGAGTCCAAGTCTTGTTTGTGGCACGGGGGTTACAAGGCAAGGAAGAGGGAAAGGAAGAGGGCAGAGAGGCCGGGGTGAGCGTGCAGCTGGGGCCAGGCGAGAGAGGGGAGCCAGCGGGGTGAGAGCAGAGGAGGAAAGGCTTGAAGATCTCCAAAGGAGCCGGAGAGAAGTAACCGAGGTATATATCCAGAAAATTATTTTACAGAAAATTACTGAATCATTACCTGTGAAACGTCAGGGACGTTGCTGAATAAGTATACTGGAGAGTAACAGCATCATCACGCAGCATGTTATTGTTTTAGACAGGTCTGAGCATCCTGTACTCCAAAAACTGCAGTGATATTAGACAATTGTGTGTATAGGATTAATTACCTGTCCAAGAGAAAACTGGCAACTTGAGCGTCACTTTGAAAACCTTTTTCCTCCATCAGTGACTTCCATCGTGTAAATGCCGTGCCAATGTTGATCCGTGTTTTTTGTCGTTTCTTGTCACTCTTGCGTTTATTCTCGTCGTGTTTCCGCTTCTTAGATGACGGGGGTTCGGTGTCCGCCGCTTTTCGTTGTGATACAGAGTAGGCATGATCCTCCATTCGTCTGATGTTTGGCCACACAGTGCCAAACAGTTTGCAAAGTCACTCACGCCTGCCGCCTTGTTTACCTTTCTTGTTACCGAGGCGCAGTATACCTGCTTCTTCTTCTTCTTTGGTTTCAGGCAGACTAAACGCTTCTCAGGCATAATACTGCCATCTACTGTTCAGTACCGTCTCAGTTCATCTCTCTCAACTTGCCGTAGTTATTTTCGAGCGTCATGGGAGATCTCGCAATCGCTAGTTTGTTGCCTCTGCGCTGCCGTAGCGCAAAGATGTCAGCCTCCATGGCTGCGAGACCCGCTCCTATGTAATTATAAATAACGAATTCTAAGGCAACGCAAATGTTATGGTTAAAAGGCTGAGCTCATAGGTGATGATAAATAACATAGTTATGTATAATATATTAAATTTCTGAATTTATATGCCTGTAATTATTACACACTGTAGCTTTAACTTAAAATCCTGAAACCTACCGACAGAATATGTTCGCTTTTATTACCGGTATCCTGGTGCCTGCAGTTTAAATTATTTAGATGAAAAACACCTGCCAGCCGCCGCGGTGAGGGTGCTGTTGAAGGGATTTCTGCTGTCGGTGCACCGCTGGTATGTGGGGGTCTGAGCGCCTCCGACAGAAATAGATAATCTGGATGAACTGACTGCAATTATGAAGTTTTCAGGTGGACTTTCTCACTTAAAAAACATATTAAAACTACTTTATTCCCACTGATCACAGCAAATATAGCTGCAAGATTTAGATTATTTAGATGAAAAAACACCTGCCAGCCACCGCGCTGAAGAGGAGGAGACCCGCCCAGAGGCTGCTGTTGAATTAAGTTTTCAGGTAGAAAAATAGAGCGGGAGCAAAACTGAGTAAGATTGTGCTTTATTCATGTATTTATTACAAAGTATTAATCGAACCCATCAAAGTCATCATCCTCTGTTTCTGAATTAAACAGCTGCGCTAAATCAGACATGCCAATTTCCCCTTCTTGGCTGTCAGAGTCACTTTCCGTGCAGCGCAGCTCCTCAGAAATAATGCCGGCTTTTGCGAAAGCTTGAACAATAGAGCCAGCAGACACGTTAGTCCAAGCATCAACAATCCATCCGCTAAAGGTGGCGTAACTTGCCCGGTGCTGCCTTCCACTTATCGTGAAACTGTGGTCTCAGTCTGTCATCCATCGCTCCCACGCCGCTCGCAGCCTTACTTTGAACGGCCGCTTCACACCGATGTCGAGCGGTGGAAGTTCCTTTGTCAGACCCCCCGGGATAACGGCGAGCACAGCGTTTATTTTTTTTCACCATGTTTTTCACATCAGCTGTGAGATGGGCATGCATGGAGTCACATATTAAAAGCGATGGTGATGCGTGGAAAAAAACCACCTGGTCTCCTCACATACACCTCCCTCAGCCACGCTTTCATCATCTCCTCATCCATCCAGCCTTTTTCATTTGCTTTAAAATCATATGTCATCAGAGCGCTGTGTATGTCTCGCTGTCAGCTCCCAGATCAGCTTCTCTGATTGGTTGATGCGGCGCTTCCAGCAGCAAAACTTCAATTTTTTCCATCTCGAGCAGCAGCAGCGCGCTCCCGACTCGCTGCGCCTGCTGCTCAAAACGCGCTGCGGGACCTTTTGCTGCGTCTATACGCTCGTCAACCATTGACTTTGCATGTAAACTCGGGGGCGGGGCATATCTGCGTTAACTGCGACACACCCAGACGACCTGGTTTCTGGGTATAAATCAGGCTTTAGGCCTGAATTACGTGTATTTTGTATTTTAACACCGACATTTACATTTCTAATCCATTTTCAGCTTCTGTTAAGCATTTTTTCTTTGAAATATAATCTGTTAATGGCAGAAATTTTTGTTGGTTATAAAGTCAAGTTGTCTGGAAGAGAATCATCTGTAGGTGCTGAGAAAAGGCCGATATGAAAGGAACAAAATGACAACCTCTCAGTTTCCTTTTACAGCATTTATAAATCCTTCTTCTTTACCTTTTAGTGTTTTTTTACCACTTAATGAAAATGTCAACAACAAATTAAATGCATCGCAGAAGGATTCTGTCGGCACTGTCAAACCGAAAAAGGCAAAGAAAGGAACAACCTCTTTAATAAAAGTCTAAATCATAGAGTCATTGCTAAAGGACTTATGGGAACTACCACGAGAACATGACCTCGTTGGATGAGACAAAGTCACTCCCTGACATCAACTCAATAGCTCTTTTCAAGACAGACTTCACCTTGACGAGAAATATTTAACAACATGGAATATTATAAGATTTTTTTCACATTATTCAGCCAGAGAAGAAGAGAACAAGGACACTTAGACTGACTGAATTAAGGTAATTTTCTTTTAGTCTAAAATATCAGAAAGTGATTTAATTGGAGGGGAAAACAGGTATTAGAGAAAAGGAAAAATAAAACAAGGGGAAACGTTGGTGTTCTGGGTGCAGGGAGGCTGAACATACCGGAATGAGAAACTTCTTGATCTCTTCTAGAGCGTGCCCCATCCTGGCGTAGGCCTCGGCTGGCGGCGCGAACACCTCGATGAGAACGTGCAGGTCTTCGTTCAGATGGTGATATTTGGCCTCGCCGCTTTGCCGTAGCTCTTCTTCCTGATGGTTCAAAATACCACAAAAAAAAAAAACAAGACAGGATTCATAAAGGAGTTTGATAACAGATGTTTAGGCTACCAAAGACTATTTGAAGCGAATATCCGTCATTAATTCAACCCAGATCTACAGCAGGAAGTTTTCTGTCATGAGGTTTAGTGTGTTGATGGTGCAGAATTACAAAAACACTGATATGTTGCAGACTTCTGCAGACAGAAAGTCCTTAACAGCTTCTCAACTGCAGCTGTCATGTTCAACTGATTGCCTTCCTCGCCACAAAGCCGCCGTTCCTCTCAGCAAACTGAGTGGTTGAGTGTAAAGTGCGCGCTCGCGTAGCCTTTCCCCAGATAGATCCTCTGTTTTTTTTGTTTTTTTTTGTATTTCAGCCCATCTCTCTGTGGAATCGCTCGAACTTCATTAAAATAAATTAACCCGCTCTGCAAGCAAAGGAATGTTCCTGATTTAAATTTATCACGATGAAATATTGATTTTCAAAAAAAAAATGCCTTAAGAGGACAGAAATTAAACAAAAAAAATCTCTAATGTGAAAAAGTTGCTGTTTTGTTATGTTTGGATCAACGTTGTCTCACAGGAGTGGGGTTTGGTTTAAAGAACCAAAAATATGACTAAAACATATTTTATTGATCACCTCCATAAGGTGAAGGTTACAGAAACATCAGATCCAGTGACTTTTAAATGTATTCCTGACATCAGACCTTTTTTCTCTAGATTTAGTCTCATTGGCAACAAAATAAAAGAATTTAGAAAGAAAGAAAAATAAATAAAAAAGGTGTCAGTGAGATTATTATTGCAAAATAAAAGCACTTTACTTGAGATTAGTTTGCTAATGAGAAGGGACAATTGTAAGTTAGTCAAAATAACCCAGTAAACGGTCCTAATCTTTGTAGAATTTTTTAGTTGATCCTTTCAGAAAATATTTCACTTTTTAAATTTTTAGGAACATCATATCGTAAAGCCACATTGATGCCTCAGGTGGTAATCAGGATTTCCATTCTAACAGTATTTACCTTCGAGTGATCAGAGTTGCAAAAGCAATAATATTTTCCTTACTATACTGAAAAACATAATGCAACTGTTTTAGTGATATACTTAATCATATTAAGTTACTTTAACATAATTGTTTCATGTTAGCAGGGTAGGACATAAAACTATATTGTTAAAGTAACTAAATATAATTAAGTAATGCCAAAAGTGGTTGCATTTTTTTTTTCAGCATCAACCCCAAAAAACAGCCATTAAAGGACTCGGTTTAAGATGTAGGCATTCAAAATCCCCAATATTGATTTTCAAAACTCTCCCAGTTTAAAGCGCGACCAGAACATACACTATATTGCCAAAAGTATTTGCTCACCTGCCTTGACTCACATATGAGCTTAAGTGACATCCCGTTCCTAATCCATAGGGTTCAATATGACGTCGGTCCACCCTTTGCAGCTAGAACAGCTTCAACTCTTCTGGGAAGGCTGTCCACAAGGTTTAGGAGTGTGTTTATGGGAATTTTTGACCATTCTTCCAGAAGCGCATTTGTGAGGTCGCACACTGATGTTGGACGAGAAGGCCTGGCTCTCAGTCTCCGCTCTAATTCATCCCAAAGGTGTTCTATCGGGTTGAGGTCAGGACTCTGTGCAGGCCAGTCAAGTTCATCCACACCAGACTCTGTCATCCATGTCTTTATGGACCTTGCTTTGTGCACTGGTGCACAGTCATGTTGGAAGAGGAAGGGGCCAGCTCCAAACTGTTCCCACAAAGTTGGGAGCATGGAATTGTCCAAAATGTCTTGGTATGCTGAAGCATTCAGAGTTCCTTTCACTGGAACTAAGGGGCCAAGCCCAGCTCCTGAAAAACAACCCCACACCATAATCCCCCCTCCACCAAACTTTACACTTGGCACAATGCAGTCAGACAAGTACCGTTCTCCTGGCAACCGCCAAACCCAGACCCGTCCATCAGATTGCCAGATGGAGAAGCGCGATTCGTCACTCCAGAGAACGCGTCTCCACTGCTCTAGAGTCCAGTGGCGGCGTGCTTTACACCACCGCATCCGACGCTTTGCATTGCACTTGGTGATGTATGGCTTGGATGCAGCTGCTCGCCCATGGAAACCCATTCCATGAAGCTCTCTGCGCACTGTTCTTGAGCTACATGAAGTTTGGAGGTCTGTAGTGATTGACTCTGCAGAAAGTTGGCGACCTCTTCGCACTATGCGCGTCAGCATCCGCTGACCCCGCTCCGTCAGTTTACGTGGCCTACCACTTCGTGGCTGAGTTGCTGTCGTTCCCAAACACTTCCATTTTCTTATAATACAGCTGACAGTTGACTGTGGAATATTTAGGAGCGAGGAAATTTCACGACTGGATTTGTTGCACAGGTGGCATCCTATCACAGTTCCACGCTGGAATTCACTGAGCTCCTGAGAGCGACCCATTCTTTCACAAATGTTTGTAAAAACAGTCTGCATGCCTAGGTGCTTGAATTTATACACCTGTGGCCATGGAAGTGATTGGAACACCTGATTCCAATAATTTGGATGGGTGAGCAAATACTTTTGGCAATATAGTGTATGAGTCAAGTCTGCGTTGGTGGCTCTACAGCGGTCACACGTCCCGTCTATTTCAAGGTATATTTTAGCAGGTCTGACTTTCCTACAATGAGTACGCTGGAGCATTTTAAACTGAATCAGATTGAGACGAATACAAGAAGTTGTTCCATTCACAATGTTACACTGGAAAAATGATCTAGAAATAAGTAAAATATCTTACATTAAGTGTATTTACCCTTAATATGAGTAGGTATATAATAGAGTTTTCCAATGGATTGAGTATTTAAATAAGATAATTAGATAAAATGCACTTGAAATAAGATGATGCAATTGTGTTTTCTTATTTTAAATGTAAATTGATTGTTCCATTGGCAAAATGTCTCTTTTTTTTCTTCAATCCAAGAACAAATGCACTTATTTTAAGAAAAAAATTACTTAGCTAGATTTCGATTTTTTTTCCAGTGTAAGAGTTTGCCATTTTGTCTTGATGCTGTCTGTTGATACGCCAGTAAATGACATAACAGAGTTATATAGATTTGTGATTTGGTCCTTTGAAGTTATGGGGATCTTTAGTATAATAAGTTTAAATCCTTAGGTAGTTGAGGGAATGATGGGTAATATGTTTGAATAAAGTGGCAGATCTGAAAATATGGGGAAAAAATGAATTTAGGAAAACAATTTGTTGGGATCTGGAGGTTTGTCCACTTTCTCCACCAGAGGGCGCACGAGATCTCCTGGAGCATGAGCCTACCGCACCACCGGTCTCTCATCTGCTCATCAGGAGATCCGTACTTAAGGAGGCGGAGGGCTTCACTCCAGTGCCAGAGTGTTTGCCAGTAACGGTTAGCAAGCCTGAGCCAACCTGCCTATCTGTGAACTCTGACTTTCTGTGAACCAAACCTGATCCCGTTTTTCTCCTCTCTGCCTCCCAGGTTGATCCTGCCTGAATACCTGAAACTCTGGAGAGTTTCTCTGCCGGTGATCTGTCTGCTCGTTCTCAGTAGGACTCTGGAGAGCAGCCTCAGTCAAGTATCTGCCTGCCCGCTCTCAGAAGATTAATGGAAGGAAAACTCAATCTGTGATCTGCCTGCACTCAGTAAGCTCTGCCTCCGCCTCTGCCCTCAGCCTGCCGACAACCTCTGGACCATCTAAATTCCCCCCCTCTGCAGCTCTGCTCCATTTCCGAACAGGTACAGACCTGAACACTCACAACCTGCAAAAGACCTGGACCTCCACTAATCTCTCTGTCCTCCTCAGCAGTGAACCCACTCGTGACCAGTCAAGCCCCCTCTTGGATCTGAACATACTTTGTACATTTATTATTATTAAATCTCGAACTTTTTCATCTGCCTCCGAGTGTTCTTTATGTGGGTTAGACACATTAATCCGAACATGACACAATTTGATTTTAAAAAAGCTCATATTTTTGCTGATAATTGTATTTTTTCTCGTATCATCCATTAGAGTAGCAGCTATTACAAATTGTCCTTCCCAGTCAAACGCCAGCCGGATGGCAGCACACTCCCCAGAGACTCCCAAGAAAATCCCCTCCAACTTCCAGCCAGTGGCCTTCTCCTTCTCATGTCTTTTAATCTGACTCCACCCTTCGACTGAATTACGGGCTCTGACCAGGAGATGACACTTTTCTTTAGATCTTAATGTCCACAAATCATAACAGAACGAATATTTTAGTACAAATATTGATGGTTAAAAAGTAATATTAGGGGACCAGCCAAGGGGCCATTGAGGAAAGGGACATTTTGAATGGCTACTACTGTACGTGCTAGCCGATTCATTATTGAATCAGAGGCCTCAGGCTGCGTGAAGTACTTGTGTCCCTCTATTTGCTATCCAGCATCATTGTATTGTATTAACTATATAATTTTTATGATTTAAATGGAAGAAGAAAAAAGCAATATTGGCCTGAAAGAAATCAGCCCCCAAATATTGGCAGCACATATCGAGAATCGGTTAGACCGGGAGTGGGCAATTCCAGTTCCTGAGGACTGGTATCCTACAACATTTAGATGTGCCCTCGGTCCAACACACCTGAATCAAGTAAGTAGATGATTAGGAGGACAGCAGAGGAACTGACTGCATACTGGTGAGGTAATTCAACCATTTGATTTGAACCAGAATCTAAGGCTTGATCCAAATACCTGTAAAGGGTAAGGATACTTAAGCCATGGCAGAAATTCATTAAGGGTTGCCATAATAAGAGATGTCTGAATAATGCTGACAGTAAGGGAGAAGCTAGGATGAGGAATCAGGATGCTTCCTAACATCACTGGAGTTAGCATAGGAAGATCCTAGTGTTTTTAGCCGTCGCTGGGAGCTAAACAGTGGACCACAATCCTTTGCATGGAGGACGTATAGACACAGCCCACCTGAGAGTTTTAGAAAAACCAATATTAGTTCAGTTGTACTCAGTGTGACACATGGT